GGCGCGGGGCGGGCGGCGCGGGGCGGGCGGCGGCGGCGGGCGGCGATGGCGGCGGATGGAGGAGGAGGAGGCGGAGGAGGAGGAGAAGGAGGAGGCGGCGGCGGCGGCGCGGCCGCGGCGGGGCTGGGGCGGCCCCGCTCCGGCCCCCCCGGCGAGGAGCGTCCAAAATGGCGCCGGCCGAGCTCCGGGTGACGTCAGCGCAGGGCGGGAACCGGGCCGCCCTCATGAGGGAGGGCGGTGCCGCCATGGCCCCCCGACCGCCCCTCATGGCGGCAAGGCCGCCCCTCGCAGCGCCGGCGACCGTCCGCCGCCCCTCCGCGCTCACGTGTCCGGGAGCCGCTGCCCCTCAGGGAGCCGCTGTCCTCCGGGGAGCCCTCTCCCCCCGGGCGCACCACCCTCCACGGAGTACCACGACCTGGAAGGGACCCCTCGGGATCACGGAACATTCCGACTTGGGGCTGGATGATCCTTGTGGGTCCCTCCCAGCTCCTGGCCCTGCACAGGACAACGCAAAGAGTCCCCAAATCTCAGCACCTGAGAACACTGTCCAAGCACTCCCTGACCTCTATGACTATGGAATATCCTCATCTGGAAGGGACCTGCAAGGATCATCCAGTCCCTGCTCCTGGCCCTGCATGGGATGATGCCAAAAGTCTCCCCTGGTCCCAGCCTCTGAGGATACCATCCAAGCACTCCCTGACATCCAGAATCATGGAATATCCTGAACTGGAAGGGATCCATCAGGATCACAAAACATTCTCACTTGGGAGAGACACACAAGGATCATCCAGTCCCAACTCCTGGCCCTGCATGGAATAACTCCAAAAGTCCTTCCAGTCCCCAAATCTCAACACCTGAGAACGCTGCCCGAGCACTCCCAGACCTCTAGAATTACGGAATATCTTGATCTGGAAGGGACCCCCAGAGATCATCCAGTGCAACTCCTGGCCCTGCACAGACACCCCAACAATCCCACCCCATCCCTGAGAGCGTTGTCCAAACGCTCCTGGAGCTCTGGCAGCTTTGGGGCCATGACCAGTTCCCTTGGGAACCTGTTCCAGCGCTCAACCATCCTCTGGATGAAACACCTTTTCCCGACACATCGTATCACTCAAGTATCTCCCCTTCATGTCCTTCAGAGCATCTCCCCCTCACTTATCCTTTGCTTTTGGGATTTTTCCCCCCTTCCTCGCTCCCTCCTCCTGCCGTTCCCTTGTGCAGCAGTAGCCACAGAACCTGTTTGCTGCACATTTTCCACCCCCTTGGACGCTTTCCACGGCGTCCGAGGCTCGGGCTCTGATTTCACTCTGTTCTCATTGCTATTCCCTGCATTCACCAGCCGTGCTCCTGAGCCATTTTTAGCCTCCATCCACCTTTCACACTGACAGCCAGCAAGATCCACAAAGAAAGGCTTCCAGCCGAGCCCAGCTTGGCACAGCTCCCGCTGGCTCGGGAAGGATGGAGGCTCCTTTTTAGCTCGCCGGGTCCCAGTTACAGTCTCAGCTGTACTTAAACTACAGGACTCGGATAATTGATTCAGTACAATCTATTTAAGATCTTGTGAAAGTCATCAGTTTTTCTGCACAGATGTTTGTGCAAACGTTTTCTTTCTTCTCGGGCTGGGTAGAGCTTGCTAATCCAGATTTCACTTGGAGATTCATGAGCTCATCCTGCAAACCCAGCACTGCCGCAAACTCCTTGGAACGAGCCTCCCAAGCCCTCACGTACACCAATTTTGCATTTCCAGCTCAAAACACCTAAGAGGCTGCTTTTGTAAATGAGAGATCATTGAATTGCTGGTCAAGTCCAGCACAAAACAGAGAACTGTGGGAACTGGACGCGGCTAAAAACACAAATACACTGCCAGGCTCCCACCAGAAACCCACAACTGGCCCAAATTACAGGCTGCTTTGGAAAAACGCTGATTTGTCGCTACATCCCTGATAAAAAATGGCACATACAAGTGAAATCAAACTTAGAAACAACAATAACGTTTGAAAGAGCACTCAACATACATAAGGACTGTAACTCACCTAAGTTTGGCAATCTCTGGAACCAAGTGTTTTGTTTAGTCCGTTTTTGCCAAAAATCTAAAAAAACAAACATATTGCAAGTTTAGAAACAGTCACAGTGAAAACAAACTGTTTTTGAATCACTACAGCACTGGCCTTGACACCCAGGGCCATGTTCCCCAGAGCTCAAAACCAAATTCACTGAATTCTACGAATTTGTGGCCATGTTTAGTTGATACCAAATTCAGAATGAAAGCTGGCATTGTTCCTTTTAGAATTCCTTTAAAACATTCTTTTCAACCTAAACAGAATTCTTCTGCAACCGTTTAACAGGAAATTTTGCACATTTAGTCCAATTCATCCATTGCCTTCTGTATAATTCCTGCAGAATTTGCCCTCATAGTAGAATGAGCATTGGTTCAAGAACTTTTGTTGCTAAAAATAAAAAAAAATAAAAAAGGCAGAGACCTGCAATTAGCTCTGTAATATAAATTAATGAAGCTTTAGTACATACCTTATAATTAAAATAAAATCCCTCTTAGAAAAGATTTAATATCATGGTGCCAGGACGATGGATCATGGCTCCAACATTTCGGGTTTTTGTTGTGAACTAACTGAGCTACAGGATATAATGGAGTCTAATAAATAAATAACATTAAATCACAGCCCTGGTAATTAGTAAAACATCTCAGGAACCACAACCTTCACTTGGGTGTTCACTCGCTTGTTAATTCAGACAACACAGGTATTCACACCACTATGAATGGTTGGTGTAAATTAGGCAGAGGGTGTTTTGCAGCTCTGATCCAAAGTTTGTCAGCACATACTTTGATTTCACTGGAGTTTGAGCATTTGCTCAGGTGCTCTGGGGGGATAGCAACTCTATTATGTTAAATTTATACACAACCACCCACAGCACAAAGCTTTAATGAGCATTTGTCTACTCCAATCATGCTGCAATTACTAATTCTTACTTTATACACAAACCCCTTCAGCTCAGACTAAAGACCTCCAGGAAATGGGAGGGACTTACAGGAACAAGGACCCACAAAAATGCATTTCTGGTTGTATTTGTTGTGAAATTTGTCAGTGGACTACACACAGAGGGGTCAGTTCATAGCAGCCTAAATCGTGAGCTGTGGAAGTTAGAAAAGCCTAAAAATCAAAATGTAAAACGTGACTGGCAGCCAATAAAAATATACATTAATGTCAAAGGACTGATCAAACAACTAAGGCTCCAAAGAAGAACTTTATCAGCAACTCATTTTGTATCTGCTTTAGTTTCCCAGTAATTTGACCTGTTAAACAAGACTATAATGAATTATAACAATTCGGTTTAGAAATAAAGGGAGCAATTATCACCAAAATTATCACTGGAATTTAGTAATAGCTGAGCCATCTGAGGTCACATGCAGGTTAACATCAGGGCAATGTAATTCCCTGCAGCAGTCCCTTCATTCTATCCAGCTTCAAGTGTCTCAGCAAGAGCTTTCCATGGCATTTTGGCACAGAATTTCACAGAATAACAGCCTTAACTCCTGGGAAGTGTTTGTTAATATTCACCCCCCGTTCCCCCCTCTTAATTTCACATAAACAGCCATTATCCAACCAGGTTCCACCTGCAAAGCCCCAGCTGCCAGTGGCCAGAGATCTTCAGCTACAGCCAAGGTTTAAACAAAGGTTTAAACATCTCCAGTTCCTGCCTCGCTATCCTAAACCTGACCACTATAAAGATATTTATTGTGCCCTATTCCACTAGGA